TTATCCATTAGGCTATCGCCGCTCTTGATAAAAAGTGAAAATATTAAATATTTGACCTTTATTTTTTTCAAAATTTGTTTGGACTTGTAATTGTAAAGGTATTTGCTAGTATTTTGTTGAACATTTCCAAAAGTCTTGAATTGATTTATTTATCAAAATATAAACAATTTTATTTGTGGATCTTAATACATTACACGGTGTGTAATAATTATTTATTTTTAAAAATCATATACACTAAAAATAAGAACAACGCATGTAATAATGTTTTATTTAAAAAAAATAATATATGGTTCTGATACAGGATGTTTTGTTTTATTTTCACTTTAAATGATTTTAAGAAAAAATTAGACACCTCGAGCAAGCCACTGTGGCTATTAGCTTACTTCGTTCCCAGTGATCAAGTTTATGCATGTTGACAAAAAAACTCGTAGAAATTATGATCGAGATAGAATTATGAGATGGAATAGATTTTGCGTAAATGATATTAAAATAACTAAAAGTTAGTTCAAAGATTCTATATAAGATGCGTAAAAGTTTAATGAGGGTTGACCATTAAGTCACCATTAAGCTCAGCTTAATGGTGGCTTAATGGTAGCTTAATGAAGTTTGGACATTAAGCACCTGTAAGTTGCAGCTTAATGGTGGCTTAAAGGAATTAACTTCTTTAAGCCACCATTAAGTCACCATTAAGCTACCATTAAGCGATTGCTTAAAGGTGGTCTTTCGTCTTGTGTACGTAAGTCGTTATTACTCAAATCAACTACGTCCCCAAATAGTTGTAACAACACCCCCCTCCCCCTCTTCATAATATGTATAATAAAATAATGTATTTTAAATTCTTCTTAGAACCTTACTTTTTTTCCTTAGAACTCGCTAAAATTAATAAAAAGGCCTTATTTTAACTTTACGCCCTAACTTACGCCTACCCATGAGTAGACGTAAAATTTTGGCCTAAATTTAGTCAGGCGTAATGATACGCTCTTAATGAAATGCAAATATTCGTGCTAGTCCCGACTTTACGCCGGCGTAGCGCTACGACTGGGCGTACGACCTTTGATGAAACGGGCCCCTGGGTATCAACTACAAATGATTCTTTTTAAAATTAAAGTTTAATTTAATTTTCGCTAGTAAAATTTAATCATATATAAATTAATGATTTAAAAAAATGAAAAAAAGATTTTAAATATTCCTTTTCTAGTTGTTCACTAGTTCGTCTAATTAAAACGAAGCAAAAATCATTTTGTTTTCATCTTGAATCATTTAAAGCCATATATGGCGTATGTACAATGAAAATTATTAGACTAAAATTATAAGAACTTATTACTTGTATCATTACTTTATATAAACATGATAAAGATAGAAATTTTCCGTAAATTACAAAATCTAAGTCAATTGCGTTATAAAGATATCAAAATTTAATTTGGATTCTCGGAATTTTCTCCGACTTGGAAGAAAATACAAAAGATTTAAATAACACATTACAGAGAAGATAAAATAGTATTATTAGATAAAACGAGGTGTTCTCCGTGCTCCGAATTGTATGAAAAGCTTTAATTTATATGTATTGACTATATTTCTTTACTTAATTTTGTATTTTTCAAAAATATAGTTTTTTGATCAGTTACGCCATATATGGCTTTAAAAAAACGCTTCATAATTGCATGACACTTATCATTGAGCTGATTGAGTAAATGTATATAATTTAATAATGAGATGTCTGTGAGGCATATATGTAAAAGCAAATATTGCTATATTAAACAAAGGAAAGGGGGGAATTCAAATTAGGAAATAAAAGATCGTTTTTAAGTAAATCAGTCTTGTAGTACTGCAAAATGGATGCAGTTATGGAGATTTATGGATAATATGAGCATGCTGTCTGGAATATTTCCATATTAGGGAATTTAATAGCAAAAAAGAGTGAAAATACCGGTGGTGCTTTTCATGTATTACATGTGTATTTTAAAATTCCTAATAGCCCAAGGGGATTCCTCAGTGTAGAAAACCACTAGCCCCATCCTCAAAAATGGAAGCCCCGGGTGTAGCGCGATGCTAATTACACACCCATCATGTGAAATAGTTATAGTAGCCCTATATCAATTTCAGTATTGTTTTAAATTAATGAAAACAAATGACAAAAACAATAATTAAAAAAAAATCAAAATAAAGCAGCCACTCAGTCAAAATCAAAGACAAAAAGAAGCACTGTTTTGACTGAAAGATTTTCAGTAATACAATGAATCTCTTAAGTTACATATCAGATGAGATAAACTTACATATATTTATTTAGTGGTTGTCAATTATCCTATTTATCATCATCTCAGCTCACTTTGCGATTGTAATACTGTCTACATGAACCGATAATTTAGAGCTGATTTATGAACACACGATTGTTAAAATTTTCATTTCCCTATCCAATATACATTGTCAGAACATACTTAGTTGGTTATGATATAAAATTAAATAATAAACACTTTCGATTTATTAAAGATTATCTAACAATATACGATCATTTACTAAATACTTCTCGACCTCAAGCGAGTTAAAAAGACAGAGAAAATTCAAAATACAAACAAGTGCAACTTAGTATTAATTGTTCCGATATATATTTTAATTTTGTGCGCAATTGTTTTCAAAATTACATTAAAATCAATTTTCCTTAAACAAGAACCCAGCAATAGATAAATATTAATCGAATAAACTCACCTTTTCTCTTGTCAATCAGACAACCTTGTTGACATTAAGTGTTTCTTAGTCGCCATATTTTTTTCCATGAAAACAAACGTTGTTATGATCAGGATCAACGGAAGTTGAATTTCGGAACTCTCGAGAATTTAGAGTTCCGAATGTAAAACTGAAACAACAAAACACGGTGCGTCCGTGAAAGCAACTTTTTTGGACACTTTTTTGGACAAATCGTCGTGTCCAAGTTTTGTTGGGTACTAACCTGCAAATACCCAATTAGGGTGTTTCAAGCATATTCAGCGACACTTCTTATTGGGTATACCCAATAAGCAAAAAGTACCCAATAAGTACAATCTTGGCATGAAAAATACCCAATAAATGCACTCTCGTAAACACAGACGGACGGACGGACGGACAAACCCAAATTAATATCCCCCACTTTTCAAGCGGGGGACAAAAATTGACTTTAGTAGAAGAGACAAAGGAGGGAACTGCACATTTTCAGGCTATTTCCATGATAAGAGTACAGATGAATGCAGAGGTAACAATATGAGCTTTGTTTTAATAGTTGAACCTATGTTAAAGAAAATAAAAAATCATTTAATCAAAAGAAATTTTTAATTGTTTTATAGTCACTAATAATTTAGAAATTAAATTTTTGATTACAAATACATACATGTGTCTTTCGAGACTCGAAATACTAATTTTAAGATGCTATTCTCTTGTGTTTTAGAGTGCCCTCCGGGCTACTTGCCATATAATCATTGCTCGCATAGGTGCCGTTACCCTGGATATGGCAAAAATTGTCAGAAAGAATGCTTATGTAATGAAGAATATTGTGATTTTCAGATGGGCTGCACTAACTCTACTGGTAAACTTGTTTGATTGATTGATTGATTGATTGATTGATTTTTTTATTGTTTAACGTCCCTCTCGAGAATTTTTCACTCATATGGAGACGCCACCACTTGCCGGTGGAGAGCTGCAAATTTTGTCCTATACTCGGCACTCAGGGTCATTGAGCAGAGAGGGATCTTTTTCGTGCCAGCACCTACTGCGACACGGGACCTCGGTTTATACGGTCTCATCCGAAGGACCGAAGTACTGAACGTACAAATATATTAACAATAGTACCTATCATAGTTTCAGCGTTAGTATTTCTTTTATTTTTAATTCTATCAACATTTTTCCTCATTCGTCGAAAAACTAGGCATACTGCACCACAAGCAGATACTGCTTCCTTTGAAGAAAATAACTTGCATAATGTGGTGGACGTATTTCCTTCAGGGTTAGGCCCTCAGAATCACGCAGTAGAAGATGTTAATCTTATAAACGAAGATCTTCAAATGATGGAGGACGAAAATCCGACAGGATTCGAAAGAAGCATAGGGAAAAAGAAAACAAATACTTTGAAAATGAATACTGAAGTTACCAACATAAGAGAGAGAGAAAATATATATACATTAGCATTTGCATCCTTTGGAAGTGTGATGATGGAAAAGTCGGTTCACGATTATTCCCCGCTTCAATTCAACTAATCACCTTATACCTTTTGAACGCAATTTACATTTAATAAGTGCTTATCAAAATACAGACACTGTGTTACATCCGAAATTAACTACATTCATTGTAAAACGCTTAGTGTAAAAACGTATTATAGGTTCATTCTTCTGATTTTTTTACTGTAAATCATAAAGAAAATATGTATAAGAAACATATAAAAACCGTTTCATTCATAGTTACATTTTTTAACGTGAATAAAGAATGTAAAACTATTTTCATTCACTAATATTACAGGTAAGAGTAGATCGCCCAGTCTGACATCTAAATTGTTTCATGATCGTGTCTACAATATTTTTTTAATTTAATATTTGTGGACATATGCTTTATTCATTTATTATGGTATACATCTACATATGTGTGATTATACTAATAAACAAATTTTCAAAACTTATAGAATTAACGATAATTTAAGTAAAAACACCCAATATAAAAACTATGTTGTGCAGGTGATAGTTCCAAGCTGCTATTATTAAACTCATTATTATTTTCATGAATAGCAAAAAGCATTTTTCATAAAATAAATAGTAACGTTTGGGCAGTGAGGTCATCAACGATAGGCTGACATGGTTTTTCTCCGTCGATTTTGACACTGTTTCATGAATTTTCCTCTCTTTATTATATATTTTTGTCATTTGCACAACATGTCATTAATTTTCATAGATAATAATTTAATTTTTATTATAGTTTTGGCTTATGTTATGAAGAAAATGAAAAATTCCGAAAATTACAACCAAAAATATTATGCAAAACATTTATTTTCACAAGAAGATGTTCAAGCAACAGTGATGGATCAAGAGGAGGAGGAAAAGGGAAAAATACAGTTTAAATTCCTTTACAGAGGGAAATCAACATTGCTAAAAGTAGATTTTTTATTCACATGATAAAATATTTTTAATTTGCACTTTTGACGCTGACACTTGTGTCGCCTTAAAAAGTTAAGTTTAAATTTTCCATATATGGACATATATGAATACCTTCTTCAATCATGATTTTAAATGCAAGGACGTACATGTACAAATGCATTTTAAAATGTTTGCCGGACTTACATTGATTGAAAATTTTTATATAAAGTCGTTTATTATTTTAATCGTAACTTTTCTAGCAATCATAGAGGGTTGTCAAAAGTGAGTACCTTTGAAATAGATTGTTATCTTTCAATGGACAAAAAAGTGTAAACAAAAAATGCAAAGGTATTAATTTCGAGGTATTTTTTTGTAAAGAAATAAATGATCTTTTTAACAGTGGATCTGAGAAAGGGACTTGCACATGCACTGGGTATTTTTTCGACGAGAGAGCAAAGGTTTGCAAAGGTAATTCTTCTTATTTTTTCAAAATATAATATTATTTACAAAATTTAAAATGTTTTCAAATCAAATCTTCATTTCTTTATCTAAATGCAAATAAATTATCCTTTCTTTAAAACACTACTTCGATTATAATTCAATCAGTGCGTAATAACTAAATAACTACATGCAAACCCAAAACATTTCACTTGTGACACTAAATCTGTAGCGTTATGGTTTTATATATTTGTCTTTGACCATAACGCTACAGATCCCGTAATGCAAAAATGTGCAGTTTACGGCAATATTTTGTGCGCACTTTTGGGGAGAATTTCTCAACTTTCCAGCATCGGTAAATTAACTACCTTTCATCCCCTAATTCTAGGCACATTATTTAACTAATCTTTACATTTTATCCATCTACCATATAGATGGATATAGGTATATATATATATATTATAGGATATAGGATATAGGATATTATAGGAAATAGGATATGGATATATTTTATAGATCCATATATAAAACCATAACGCTACAGATCTGCAGCTACACTTAAGGATATCCGATCCTCAGTCAGGAAGGATAACTCCAAAAATTCATATTTAATTTGAAATGCAGCAAAATGAAGCTTGAAAATAAAAATTTTTCATGCAACAATTTTCATTAAATTCATCTTTATAAGATTCAAAGTTTTTGGAAGTCTTAGAAAGGTCTTATAAAAGTTGACATTTGTGCCCTATAAAAGGACAAAAAATTATATAGTTTTAGAGAAATAAGATTTTCTTGAATCCAGCCTTAGATACCAATGATTATTAGCATGATATGAAATTTGAAATGATTTGTGGTGTCTTGCATTGATAGCAAAAACTTTTTACACTATGTATTATAGAATATCAGACGGAAATAGAAGACAAAAAATACAAAATAAGTATAAAAATCATGACAATTTCTCTGAATGTCTGGATACCTATCGTTTTTTAACCTATAATATATTTGTTGATCAATTTGCAATTAGAAAATGCATAGCTGATATTCCTATTCACTTTTTCTGCAAAAATATTGGAGGTTTGGCGATTTTTCCTATATAATATTAACATATTAACATATAATATAAGATTTACTTCAATCTTTAACTTAAAAGAAATACTGTGGATAAATTTACATAACTCTTTGGATTCAGAGATACTTTTATAAGTATTTTTGATTACTTAACTGCTTATTTTAATATGTTTTACGGTGTGACCGCTGGGGCGAGCGCAGTTTATTTACTATCATAAACCTACACATGTACTGTCTATCATTCAAGAAAAAGAAAGCAAAAAGAATAAAACAAAACAATAAAAAGAAATCATTTCCCAAGCATCGGGATCGAGATTCCAAACTTCTCGGAAGTTTCCGACAAAATCGGAAATACCCGAACCCCTCGTTGAAGTGACGAATGTATGACGTCAGATAAAAAGTTCTGTTGACTTAGGACGCAAACGCTAGTTTTATGGAAAAGAGATTGCATTAAATCGTTGTTTTCAAGTAAGTTGTTGCTATGTTTTAGCCACCATGTTGCTATGCACCGCAACATGTTTTCCGAGTCTCACGGAAGCAACCGACATAACTTCGTCAAAATTCGTAAGTTTCCGGTGACGTCATTTGTATCATTTCCGAAGGGCAAGGTGAAGGCCGGTGTTGTGGCATGGGGGTATTTTTTTGAATAAGGTAAGGCAAAATCATTTCGTTTAGATTTCGGTAAGAAAAATGTTCCTTTAATTTTTTTACTATTTTTTGATTTATTCGCGCAAAGGACATTGGGTAGTGCAGGAATTTGGGAATGTTGCACAGAGAAATTTGGCTGACGTATGTACAGATTTCAATCCGAATTTCCTCTGTTCTTACACGTTAGTCTATTGAGCTCGCTTCGCGAGCGTCGCTTCGCGACGCTCGCTGCGCTCGCTATAAACCTGAGGATCGGACTACCTTAATATTAATAAATAGATCCCTGTGTAATAAGATTGTGTTTTCGATGTATTTTAGAATGTCCCCCTGGTTATATGGGCGTAAATTGTTTACTTAGATGTCGGTACCCGGGATGTGGGCAAGATTGTCAATATGGGTGCTTATGTAATGCAGAGCATTGCGATTTTCGGAGTGGTTGTGTCAACACCACAGGTAAATTCCCTCAAAGTTCTGTAATGATCTGCTCTAAATTTCATAATTTAAATTATTTCTTTACGGCATCAAAAAAGAAATTTAATAATATTTCTATTAAAAGCATAAGTGCAATACCGCATTTAAATTAGACTTTCATATTCTGGTAATTTAGCTTGTTCTAAATTCACTGCTTGACATTTTGTCAAAATTTTTCCTTTAATGCTACAAAACACTGAAAATCATTCTTTATTCTTATTTTAGATAATGGAACGCATATCTTAGTAAGGGATTTATCACACGGACCCGGAAGTCGAATTTCCATTTCCATGTTTATAAAAATCCCTATAATAATAATAGCAGGAATTATATTTCTTTTATTGCTTATTTTAATAAGAATGGTGATAATTTATCGAAAAACAAAGGATACCTTGACAAAGACGAAAATTTCTGATAACCTTGAAGGGAATGATCGAAATACAATGGCTAATGAAATTTTTCAATGCACGCCCCAAAGTAGGTCATCACAGGGAAGTCTCCATCTTGCCTCTTCTGAAAATTTAACCGATAATGCAATTTCTTTTCACGCAAAAGGACGTAAGAAGAAAAGGAATAAAGTGATTGATACCAAAAATACAGGGGTCATGAAAACAACGCAAACAGATAATGTAAAGACACACACGTATTCAACTTTTGCAAGCATTAGAAATGAAATGTTGGGAGATTCTGCTTATGAATATTGTAGACGGAATTAGTCCCCTACCGATGAAACCGGAGGGGACTATAGGTTTCCTCTGCGTCTGTCCGTCCGTTCGTCTGTCTGTCCCCGTTTGTCTGTCAGTCTGTCCCACTTGGTTTCCCGCACTTTTTTCTAATAACTAAAAGATATTGAGCTGAATTTTAATACGTGGGTGTATCTTGATGAGTTACAGATCAAGTTTTAATATCGTTCCGATTCAATGATTGAACCGGCCTTTTCAAATGTTCAGGGTTTTCCGCACTTTTCTCCTAAACGCTTGCAGATATTGAGCTGGTTTTAAGTATGAGACTTTACCTTAATTAGTCATAGATCAAGTTTGCATTTCGTTCTGCTTAATTGATTTTTGAAAGAATTATGGTATTTTTATTTTTTTAATTTTATAATTGGATTAAAAATAGGGTTCGTGATGCACTACATTTATGTCGTGATGCACTCAATTTATGTTCTAAACGAGATTGTCATGAATTGAAACTTGCTGGATAGCTTTTATAAATTGATTAGTTATAGATCAAGTTTGCATTTCGTAACATACTTCATTGGTTTCTGAAGGAATTGTGGTATTTTTATTTTTTTATAATTTGATTCACAATAGGGTTCGTGATGGACTAATTTAATGTTGTGATACACTGCTGGATTAATGTTCTAAACGAGATTATCATGATTTGAAACTTGCTGGATACCTTTATAGTGACAAAATATACATCAAGTTCGATTTTTTCTGGTGTAAAATTGATGTTCAACCATGTAAAATAAGCTGTTCTGATCAAAGCATTTGTGTGTGTCAAATGGCATTCAAAGACGTCACGAGTCTTTCTTTGTAAAGCAGATCCAATACATTTAATTCATATTCAAGTAACAACTAAAATGTCCATATTTAAGAAACAATTATTCATACACAGACTCTAATAAAATGATACCCCAAAGAGAAAAGGGGAACCCGGTAGGGGACATGTATTGCTTATGCAATACTCTCTGAATGCTTGTTGATACATGTACTATTTTCAATCCAATATTTAGAAATTGTCATTGAATCTTTTATCTATCTAATAAATTGAACTTACTTCTAAATATTAATGTCACCTTGTATTAAAAAGGATTAGTTTATTGCTAATACATAATGGTAATGTTATACATTTTATAATAAAATTTAAAATGGTTTTTCTTTATTAACTGTCATTTTATAATCATTTAAAAGAATGTAGATGAACCTTGTTACATTCCACAGTAAATTAATGCTTTGCAAAAAATAGAATTTGAAATTGGTTAAACTTACCGGTAGATGCTTTTGCTTAATATAAATGACAAAAAATAGCACTGCCTAACACGAAAATCCCCCAGTCTATTTCTTGCAGATTAATGTATTTTATAATATTAGACCCCTGATCATCCTTTATCTAGTTTTTGAGTTTCAGATTATTTTACGTAATTTTCATGGATCTTTAACGTAGTTTAAGTACAAGTGTAGTTCGGTGATCCTAAGCCAATCATCCACCTTTTTAAAAACGATTTTAAATTACATGTACATAAACCTTTATCTACATGTAGCTCACCTGAGCCAAAAGCTCAAGTGAGCTTTACGATCACATCTGGTCTGTCGTCTGTACGTACGAAGGTGGAGTCAATAAAAAACTCTTCTTCTAAAGAAGAACTTGGCCAGAAATGCTAACACGCACGTTGAAGCATACTGGGTAAGTGTAAATTCTAAATTGCTCAAATTATGACCCCGGGGGTTGGGCGGGGCCACAATAGGGAATCAAAGTTCTACATAGAATTTATTTAATTTTATTTAATTTACATTTAATTCATATTCAAGTAACAACTAAAATGTCCATATTTAAGAAACAATTATTCATACACAGACTCTAATAAAATGATACCCCAAAGAGAAAAGGGGAACCCGGTAGGGGACATGTATTGCTTATGCAATACTCTCTGAATGCTTGTTGATACATGTACTATTTTCAATCCAATATTTAGAAATTGTCATTGAATCTTTTATCTATCTAATAAATTGAACTTACTTCTAAATATTAATGTCACCTTGTATTGAAAAGGATTAGTTTATTGCTAATACATAATAGTAATGTTATACATTTTATAATAAAATTTAAAATGGTTTTTCTTTATTAACTGTCATTTTATAATCTTTAAAAAGAATGTACATAAACCTTGTTACATTCCACAGTAAATAGATGCTGTGCAAAAAATAGAATTTGAAATTGGTTTGAAAAGTAAACTTAGATGCTTTTGCTTAATATAAATGACAAAAAACTAGCACTGCCTAACAAGAAATCCCCCAGTCTATTTCTTGCAGATTAATGTATTTTATAATATTAGACCCCTGATCATCCTTTATCTAGTTTTTGAGTTTCAGATTATTTTACGTAATTTTCATGGATCTTTAACGTAGTTTAAGTGCGAGTATTCTCTGGAGATCCTAAGCCAATAGTCCACCTTTTTAAAAACGATTTTTTAAGTTACATGTACATAAACCTTTATCTGGTTTTTAGCTCACCTGAGCCAAAGGCTCAAGTGAGCTTTACAATCACATCTGGTCTGTCGTCTGTACGTACGAAGGTGGAGTCAATAAAAAACTCTTCTTCTAAAGAAGAACTTGGCCAGAAATGCTAACACGCACGTTGAAGCATACTGGGTAAGTGTAAATTCTAAATTGCTCAAATTATGACCCCGGGGGTTGGGCGGGGCCACAATAGGGAATCAAAGTTCTACATAGAATTTATTTAATTTTATTTAATTTACATTTAATTCATATTCAAGTAACAACTAAAATGTCCATATTTAAGAAACAATTATTCATACACAGACTCTAATAAAATGATACCCCAAAGAGAAAAGGGGAACCCGGTAGGGGACATGTATTTTATGCAATACTCTCTGAATGCTTGTTGATACATGTACTATTTTCAATCCAATATTTAGAAATTGTCATTGAATCTTTTATCCATCTAATAAATTGAACTTACTTCTAAATATTAATGTCACCTTGTATTGAAAAGGATTAGTTTATTGCTAATACATAATGGTAATGTTATACATTTTATAATAAAATTTAAAATGGTTTTTCTTTATTAACTGTCATTTTATAATCGTTTAAAAGAATGTAGATGAACCTTGTTACATTCCACAGTAAATTAATGCTTTGCAAAAAATAGAATTTGAAATTGGTTAAACTTACCGGTAGGTGCTTTTGCTTAATATAAATGACAAAAAATAGCACTGCCTAACACGAAAATCCCCCAGTCTATTTCTTGCAGATTAATGTATTTTATAATATTAGACCCCTGATCATCCTTTATCTAGTTTTTGAGTTTCAGATTATTTTACGTAATTTTCATGGATCTTTAACGTAAAGTTTAAGTATATTTTGGAGATCCTAAGCCAATAGTCCACCTAAAAAAACGATTTTTTAAGTTACATGTACATAAACCTTTATCTGGTTTTTAGCTTCAAATTAGGCTCAAGTGGTATTTGTTTATTCACATCTGGTCTGCTTCTTATTTGTTTGTTATCGAAGGTGGATCAATAAAAAACTCTTCTGAAATTGTGATAAATGTACCAGGTATGCTAACACGCACGTTCAAGCATACTGTAAGTGTAAATTCTAAAATTCAAATTAAAGGGGGGGGCGGTGACAATAGGGAATCAAAGTTCTACATAGAAATATATAAGAAACAGTAATAAAAATCTTCTTCTCTGAACCACTTTTGAAAATCACAATTTGTTGAATTTCCATCGTAGATGTGTGTGTCTAAATTGTTCAAATCATGACCCCGGAGGTTGGGCGGGGCAACAATAGAGAATCAAAGTTTAACGTAGAAATATATAGGAAATATTTTAAACAATCTTCTTCTCAAGAACCACTTTGCCAGAATAGCTGAAACTTATGTGAAAGCATCTTGAGGTAGTACAGATACATGTACTTACATATAAAAAAAATGACAGGGGAGGGGGGAAGGGACACAATAGGTATAACAAGAGGGTAAATCTGGTAAAAGAACTACATCACTCAGGTGAATGATTTGGTCCATGGCCCTCTTGTTGATTTTTTAAATTACTTTTTGCCATTGTATTTGCTCATGTTGTTTGTGAGAGAAACGAAACCGCTTCTTATTCATTTGGTATCAGCGTATATATTTCTTAAGTATGTTCTTGAAATTGTGATGCATGTATGCATGGCGTCGGAAGCAAATTCAAAAATCAGACGGGGGTAAAAAAAAATGCAACATAAAATACTTTTTGACAAGCAAAATAAAAAAGATAATTTTTTTCCAAGCGCGCAAATTCGAAATACCTATTTCAGGTATCATATAGGTTGAAAGCTCGAGATTAGCATCAAACTTCTTTGAAGAACATTTACTTTTAAACACTACAACTTACCCATTTCGCTAATATATCAACATGTTCTATGAGATTTTCTATTTGGAGGGAGGAGGGCCGAGGGGAGGGTTAAAGCTTGAGGGGCTCAATGTCCAATACCTATATTATGCCTTTCTTTGCAAAAAATGGGGGGGGGCTTTCTAGCTACGCCCCCTCACCTAGTACCCCCCCCCCGGTTCCGACGCCTAGGGGTGTATTTGATATATTTTACACGTTTATTTAACGATTACTTTCAGTTGTCATGCCAAATACATAATGACATGTCTGAAAAAGATTCCTTGCTCATTGAAAAAATTGAAATGGGATTTTCTTTTGTGCATTTTCAATTTTATTTAAAAAGTAAACCAAATAATTCCATCATTTTTTTTTACTTTACAATGATTTTCAAAGCTAATTAAAACAATTCAAGAGCATTGAGGCACTTTAATAATTTTAGGAGTTTGCAATATCTAAATTTCAAAATATATAACCCAGTAGCTCCTTACAAGAAATGTCTTCATTCCACTTTGGCTAAAATCATAATCCTTTTTATCTATTGCATTCAAAGTCAAGTAAAACCATTAGCAACTTTCTAATAACACAATAATATGATAATTATAAAAATAAAAATAAAATGATAATGACATACCTCAAGAAACCTTTTCCATCAATATCTATCAATGTTAATCACACGATTTTTGTTATAATTATATCATGTTTCTAACTTCCGGTTCATTTTCATGTCGTTAAGGAAGTGGAAAATAAAAGGGTTTTATTTATTTCACACTGTCTCACTGATTAACAGCTAAAAAAACTGTTTTAATAACTTCCTCATTAAACACATTCTACTTGAAGGGATTTCCTTTTTATTCCGCGATTGTAGAGCTGTCTCGTTTCGATATCTTTAGCAAAGGATGTAATAATGTTATTGAAGGTAAGTGTTGCGTCGATTGATAAATTTTTCTGTGTGCTAATTGACTTGATAAACTTCTTAGTCCTTTTAACTTTAATTACGTATACGAGCAATGAGAGAAGAAATCAGGCATTGATAAATATTATATAGAGTGCAATACTTTATCTTTATGAGGTGCATAACAAAGCCCAAATCGATATTTAAACAAAGCTTTATATAAGTTAAAACGCCTTTGCACTTGATGCTTTATCTTAATTAAAACTGTCGCTTATATTGTTCGATTTTGTTTCGAATAGTCTTTTTATGTCGTTTCCAAAATTTTAACACACATCAATTGTTTTTGCTGAAGTTCTAACAGTCCTTTAGCAGTGAGAAATCTTGTCCATGTCGGCATCTATTTCGACACGGAATATCCACCCTCATCAAAAAGACTCTTCCACACAGTGAATTTGAACCAAATATATATGAAGTAAGTCCTAACGTTCATGATCTAGAACTATTGCTCTAGCCAATGGTTATTTATCTTTGATTAGGTGTGATTTCTTGAAGGTTATCATGAGTTGTGAAAAAAAGTATGAAAGTGTAAATAAATTTACTTTTTAATTTTATCTTGATGGTTCCTTGTAAACAATACTTTTCCGCATTGCAGAACCATGGGTGTTTTAATGCTCACACTGCTGGTTTTCTTTGTGAGGAAATCGAATGAAGACGAGACTGTTAACGTTGGAGTTGTTATCAGGCTCACACAGAAAGGCCTTACATACGGTATAAT